ACCAGCGAGACAAGGCCTGGAAGATTTCCTTCTCACTGGCAGCAAACGAGTCCCGCCTGACCACAGTTAGCAGAGCCGTCTGCAGAAAAACAATTTTTTTTTTTTTTTAGAAACAAACCCAGATAGAAAGAAAAGCCTCAAACTGAACAATAAATCAAATACTGTACCTTAGAGAGCGACAGGAAGCCCTCTGAGTTCAGAACCTCAGGAGCATGTCTGTCCATGTAGGCGCAGCAGGCCTCATTGAGCGCGCTCAGAGAGTAGAGGCTCGCCACGTCGAACACCAAGCAGATGTTGCTGATGTGCAGGATGGTGCGGAGGAACTCGCAGGTAGAGTCTTCCAGAGGCTGGAGGCCGTAGCGATGAGCCAAACCCAGGAAGTCCAGCAGCACCTCTTCCCGGGCTGAGCTGAGGCTGGCCCGGCCCGTATACAGGTAGTTCAGCAGCATGGAGAACGCTTCAGCCCGGGTCTCCTCCAAACGGACCTCAGCCTGGGGCTGGGACTCTTTCATCCCACCGTACAGCAGGGCCCTAAACAGGAAAACGACATCAGAAGGTCATTAATTCTATCACACATTCAGTTTTTTTTTTCTTTTTACAGTATCCTGTCTGGTTATAAGAATAATTGTCTTGATGCCAAAAAAAGCGCCCAACGGATTTTGCTTTCACAACTGGAACAGTGCAGCTATCACTATAGTGTTCCGCTTGATATATGCATGTAAATAGCTTTATTATAATTATGCAGGGAGTATTACAGATTATATGGACACTGTAATATAAGTAGAACAGGAAAGGAAAAACAGAAAAAAGGAGAAAAAGTGAAAGAAAGAAGAGATAAAAGACAACGATAAAACATCTTCAGTCTGTTTCATCACCTGCAAAGTGATGTAAAAAGAACAGCACAACCAACGGATATAGTATAAGAGATACAATAAAGTGGCATCTTGACACTATCGCTGAAGTATAAGATTAAGTTTTAATGTAGCTACAATCAACTTTATTTAGACAAACAGGAAACACATTCAGGAAAATAGAAGAACAAACAAACAATAAAACCTTCGGGAAAGAAAATTTTCACCTTAATTAAACTAATAACATAAGAACCACCTGATATGTTTAACTGCAGCCATGTAGTAGAAGAAGAAATAGATATGGAGATAATTTTTACATCAATAAACATACGGATTACTTTAACATTTTGATAATAAATAGCTTCATATTTAACAAAAAATGGATTCATATGTGATGACTGAAATTATATTATTTTCCAAACGACTTATTCTACCAAATAATAAAATGTGTCATTGAATTGATTTACTTTACAACAGCAAGCAGGTCAAAATTATTAGTCCTTAGCAGGCTGGGACTGGGAATGATTTTAGGCCCTGGCATTTTTCCAGCTACACCGGCCGACTTATGGACCCCGCCCACCCGAAAAAAAAAAAATAGAAGCACAGCCACAAACACGTGCGTCTCAAATGTGAAACACAATACGGATACACATTGTGGATTAACCGATCTGTCTCCAAGCATCACATGACAACCATCGCCAGTCTTCTATAATGCGGTTTAACTGGCTTTGGTTATTAACACGGATGCGACAATGACTCCTGCCACACTCACCACATCGGCAGGGTTACCAGATGTCACTGACTCACGTTTTCCATCCCAAAATATGTTCATAAACCGCCTGAATATACGAAATCTCGCCCAATTTTAACCAAAGTCTATTGATCTTCTAAAGAAAAACATTTTTTACCCATAGATGGCCATCTTAAACTGCCAGATTTGGAAACATCCCAAGCCTGGCAACAATGCAAGAGACGGGAAACTTTGGATGCAAAACCCCATCATGCACCGCAAAATATTTTTGCAAAATATTCAAACATAAATTCGCCAAATATAAGACGAACATCGTTGTTTGGTTTAAAGAAAGCACATTAGTTTTATTATAATTTAGTTTGTTGCAAGGATTTTACAGTTTGAAGAAACAGAAAATGACACCATATGCCAACCTTCACAGGTATGTGTATGACAAGGAAGGGCTATTTATACTGCATGCATCATTTAGGTGGTTAACATTGTATTTCTTCTTGAGTTCCTTGAGTTATTTACTGTCACAGGTAGGTGCTACGAGAGTACGTATTGGGGCCGGTATGATTTAAAGCTGAAGTCTGTAAGTTTTTAAAAATCACTTTTTTGTCATATTGGCTAAAACTGTCCCTATGCCCCAGACAGCAGTACATGTGATATGTAACCTGTGAAAAAAACTGCTTCAATTGGTCCCGCATACTGCCTGTATTTCAATCTGGAAAGAATAATTCGGGACGAGTCAAAACAACCAATCACAGCCAGAGGAGCGTCTGATGGAGTGTCAATCACAGCTGGAAGTCATGGCGGAGCGACAGCCACCAGCGAAAGAGAAACTGCCCTTACTGCCCCTGCCAACTGCTTACACGGCAAACTTTGGTATAACCAGCATCTTATATCTAGCTGCTTGGAGGTGAGTGTTATCGCTCTTACCGGTTCACACTCCATGCCGCGTACGCTGCTTGGACGCTTGTGGTCGCATGCGGTAGCCGTGCAGATGCTGTGAGAGGGGTGGGGCATGAGTGAAGCAGAGAGGGTGGGGGAGTGGCGTGAAACCTGTTTTTCTTAAAATTTTCAGTCGAAGTCTGCTCTCTTCTCAGACTGCAGCTTTAAGGATGGCCGGCCCTAGCACACTTGGAATTAGGAGGGGCCCACTGGGCAGTATCACAGATTACCAGTCCGACCCTGTTACAGTCCTTAGAGCAATTACTCTGAATCTTAAATTAGGAAGGGTTTTATAAGGGTCCATTAGTGTAAAAGAAGTGATAATGACAGTAGTTTAAGGGTTAATGACATGTCATAACTGTGTGGTGAATGGAGGGAGTATTTAAGGGAATTTCTCCATTGTGAGATCATCCATCCATCTATTTTATGACACGCTTATCCCAAGCGGGGTTGCGAGGGGTGCTGGTGCCCATCTCCAGCTGTCTACGGGCGAGAGGCGGGGTCCACCCTGGACAGGTCTCAGGTCCATCGCAGGGCAACGCAGAGACACACAGGACAAACAACCATTCACACACACACCTAAGGAGAATTTAGAGAAGCCAGTTAACCTACCAGTCATGTTTTTAGACTGTGGGAGGAAGCCGGAGTACCCGGAGAGAACCCAGGCATGCTCAGGGAGAACATGCAAACTTTATGCAGAAAGATCCCAGGCCGGGAATCGAACCCAGAACCTTCTAGCTTCAAGGCAGCAGTGCTACCCACTGAGCAGCTTTTTTTTTAATAACAAAAGACAACTTCATTGGTACCTGAAGTAGTGGCATCGAGCAGCCAGGATGACCCGGTGCGCAGGGAACCTCTTCCCCTCCACTATGAAGGTGACGTCGCTGTACTCCTCTCCCAGCACGAGCGCTCCGAGCTGCTCAGACAGCAGGTGGATGTGGTCGATCTCCGACACGGAGGCCAGAGGCCTCAGAGGATGACTGTTGCTCATGGTCTAATTATGTTCACAGACACATCTGACACACAGAGCAGACATGCAAACAGACTCCGGTGACCAAATCAATCTGAAACCAGAAGCAAACACCACTCAAAAACCGTCTACCTTTAGCATGCTACATGCTAACTACACTGAGGCCGGTCGGCCGGCGGCTCATCAAGACAATACGCTAAATGTGCTTCATGTTGGCGGAAAATATATTGTAACCGGTGACTTTAAAATAAATGAACAAAAAAATATTTTAAAAACTGCACCGGTTTTTAGCCGCTAACGAAAGGCTAATTTCTCCCCAGCCTCGGTTGTTAACCATTTAAAACTTACCTAAAAAAAACTAACTCTCACTTCCGTTTATGTTTCTGACTATTTTAGTAAACTCAGATGAGAAAACTTGTTCACAAATTCAAGAAGAAAAAAACCCAGCTCCAAATACAAGCTTTAGGCGACATAACAACACTGGAAGCTGGAAGCTGATACTGTGACAACGGAGGAAAACTTCCGGTTCTCTATCGCTCGGTTTATACGCTGCAGCGCCACCTGCTGGATTGGAGAAGATGTCCCGTAGTAGTTACCGGTATTTAGGATTTTTGTTCAGGATCAGGCGTCTCCAACCTGTCGCCCTGGTTCCTTTTATTCAAGATGAAAGGGGGTTTTGTGCTTTGTGTATTTATAAAGTATTTCCTCATAATTATACATGGTTTATGTATTTTTTTTTGCTTTTAGAGTAAGTTTAATCTGCTTGAAAGAAGGCAAACGTAGATGAATAAATTAACTGGGCCTGGATTTGGAAAAGTTTCCAGTGGCATTCTCACTTCTTGATTCACAGGAAAGTAGAAAAAAAGAATTTTAATATGCATGTATTTACTGTTTTAACAAAAATGAACCATTAGAACTAACTGAGCCACATAAAAAAATATCCAACTGCATGATGTTGCCTGTCCTGACCCATTTTTGTCAGTGGTGCTTTTTTTAGCCTCTTTTTTATATTTACTGTAGATTGAAAGTTGAGTCACATTTTGCATGCATGTGGCATTGCACAAACTTTTGTGAAATGAGTTTAATCATCTAACACGTTTAAATGAAGAAGTCTCATAAAAAAAAATAACTTCTCTTATAACCATGGCATTACCATAGTAATTCTCGGTAAACATATAAATGAGCTAGGCTAAGTTTCTCAGCATAAGTTGATTCTTAAAATATTTCCTCTTTCCTGTTGTGAAACATTTGCTTCTCTAAACTGTTGGTTTCTGGTTAGAAACAAGCTTGACTTTAACATGCAGTAGTCGAGTTTCAAAGAAATGTTCTCTTTTTCTTCCATGTGAAAAAAACTTCCTCTTTGAGATCCACTTTATGATGATTCTCACACTTGTCTGCATGTCTTATGATTTTTAGAAACTGATCAAATAAAATCAACTTCATCAAATTCAGATAAAATTGTAAAATTGCAAATTTATTATAAAAACAAGAATCCAAAGCTTGAACACTTTACAGCAGCTAAATAGGGCATATGTGGCATCTTTTGTTAATTTAATACAATCATTCAATAATTATTGAGACATTTTTTACAAATAAATGTTGTTAATGCCTGCTATAGCATATCTGACTTTTAGCACATTCTCTGATGACATATTTGAGAACCTCAGACTGGTTTGTTTGGCTTTTTGACTGAAGCATAGAGGACGCTGGGATCTGTGGAGGAAGCTTTCACAGTGCTGTACGTCACAGTATCACCTTCGTCATCATGTTGAAGCTGCAGAAACAGAAAAGAGACGCAGTCTGGTCAATATACAGTATTGTCAAACACTGTTTTAGGTATATGAGGAATACGCTTTGCTAGCAAAGGGCTGCTGACAGACAAATATACAGTTTAATTGAATACATTTGAAGATAAATAATTTGAAATATGCATGTTATAGGAATAGATGAAGGGGAAGCACCTTGGTAGATACTGATAATATGCTATTAAAAGATGACTTTCAATGAAATAGAATTTACATGTGCTGAGAAAGTGTCAGTGGGGGATCTGGTCTTGAAAATGAAGCTTTTTGCAGATAGGAATAAGCTGTTTATTTGTGGTAAACGGTTTTTAGTTCTGATGGACCGCAGTCTCCTTTTAGAGCGGAGAGACTGAAACAGTCTGTGCTGAAGGTGGGAGGGGTCAGCTGCAATCTTTCCTTCTAGCCTCAGAGTCCTGGAGGTGTACAGTTCCTAAAAGTAGGAAGATTAGACCAGAGGACAGTCTATGCTGTTAAAGGACTCCTGGTTTTCCAACCTTGTTGTGTGAATTGTGAACCAGAGTTAATCATTGATATAACTCACCACGGTGTTGGTTTACAGCTGTGCTTAGTAAGCTGATGTGGGGCATTACAATATAATTTTAGATTTGGCCTATATGCAGCAAAGATCACATGATCATAGTAACCCAGTGCGGTGCAGGGGATGGTGTGATTGACACTAATTCCTGTGGTTTTTTTGATGCAAAGTTTTTTCTTCTCTCCTTAAATAAACCGACAAAGAAAACAACTACTAATTTTGATCAACTTAGGGTTTCATGCCAAAAAAAATACAGATTCTAAAAATAATCTCTGTTTAAAAGCACACTATGCAACAGTTTTCAGTTGATTGATGTGTTCCATAACGTTTTGGATGATTAAATGAGTCATTTCAGGTCGAACAAAGGTTTTCTCAGCCGCCCTGGTGGTCTGTAGGGAAAATACCGTACTTGCAATTGGAGGAGCCCTCGGCCCGCACCCACAGGCTCAGAAGTCTCG